CAGAAAGAAATGCGAACATTAGTGGCTTGTAGTGTAACCATAGAGTTCTGGATACTTTTTGTCATTAAACAATATATCATGTGACTATCCACGGGTCCGGGTAGTCCTGTGGGTACCCGGATCCTAATCAGTACCCACTCGACCCAGGTACCCGAGTTACCCGTCCCAGCCCTATTACACCGGGCAGGTACTTTTTTCAATACATTTGATTATTATTAGCGTAAAGTCAGTCTTTTTGTTTGATTTTTTATTGTTGCATATTTGTATATTTCTAATCCATTGACAATATTTTAATTATATTTTCTGATTGTGGCTCTGAACTGTTAACATTAATAGTGTTGTCTTATTTAGGTAAAAACAAGTGTTGGGCAGCATTGTTATAGGTCGATTCCTGACAGGCAGTGAAGTAATTTACAGTAATTTAAGTTCTGACAGGATTGATTGATTGAAACCAATCGGAAAATATTCAGTTCTGATATAAGGCAGTGAGAGTTACTATAGTAAACATTACTTTAAGAAATATTGTTATATATACTCACCATAAAAAAATATGTGAACCACTGAAACATATATCAAGAAGCATGTCTGTTAAGAAGACATGTTTCCACTGTGTACCACTTAATGACACAACTAACAATCAGTCAAGTGTTACCACAGAGTGTCTTTATTCTTATCACGATATGCTGCACGTGACTTTCAAACTTTACACGCTAATCCTGCACGAGACAAATGGTATATCTCGAGTCACGGATCTATGACATCACAAGTTATGTGTTCATGAGCATCGGTTCACACAACATAACAATATGTTTGTTTGTGCATCAAACCAATCTAATATTTCTTGAATAAGTAATTCTTCATATATTAACCAACATGTATGGTATTCACATTTCTTTTGGTGGTGAGTATATATCGTACCCATCAAACCCGGATGTTCAGCTAAGATAATGATTTAGCGACAGGGCCGAATCCAGAGATCACGTTTGTCGTATTGATGACAGGATTATTCAAATCTTCAGACAAGTGTGGCAGGATAGTCCAACTTTACCATGTTAAATAACACAGGCTCTGTATCTCACCTCATTAAAAAATCTTTAAATTCTCTCCAAAAATATAATTACAGACATGATACCTACAAAAACCTTGAAACTGATAATGGTCATTAGCATTCACAAAAACTAGTCTTGAGCTTATGATTTATAAAAGACCAATTTTTGTTTTACATTTCTTAAAGAATATAGATTACTCCATTTTGAAATATGGAAAGACTTTCGCTTCTTTTGGTCACAAAGGCTCACATGGACCTTCTGATCAATTCAATTTCTTATTTTACTTTCGAATGAAAAGCACAGATAATGAACCTTTAATGTCTGGATTAAGATCCCATGGTGCTTGCCTGACGGAGTTAATCAAAGATAATCATGGTCCACAATGTTCTACAGTTGGTAAATAGAAGGACAGACAGGATCACACGAAAACCACCCAAAAAAGTTGACATGCTGCCTTCTCATAAGCGTAATTAGAAGTAGGTTTGGTATTACAATTATTCCATTACGGAAAAAAATTATGCAAAAAAATACCCATGTATTATGAATCTAAACTGATTCATTGTGCTGTCACTTTGATATAGCTGTCATTAAAAGACACTGCCTGCTCCACAGTAGAGGGATTGTCTCAAAAGTTGACAGTCAATTTTTAAATATACAGTAAACCACGTTTATAACAATCACACTTATAACGAACTGACGGATGTAAGATCTGTTTTGTTGTCCCGTTCATTTGCTGTATATAGGCCGAATACATGCTTATAACAAACTATGGTTATAACGAACTAAAATTAATGGTTTTAACCGTAGTTCACTGTAGTGGATCAGCATCACAAAAATTGTTTTGATAATTTTAGTTCGGGGAACAAATTAGAAAAGTTCTGACATGACCCGTAATTGGATGTCCTCAGATCTTTGTTTAGCGGTAGCGAGACCTGAGATCTGACTTTAATGAGATTGCATTAAATGTGAGCATATGACTTTCTGATTTATAATATGGTTACCAGACAAAGAGCTCAAAATGTCTTAATGTTATTGTTACTCATATGTCAGAATGGTGTATTGTAATTAAACTATATTGCCGGATGAGAAATCTAGATTACATTTCTTAAGTTGACAGATATTTTGAGACAGTCCCCAAAAGAAATCACAGAAGCGCAAAAAAAACCTCGAGATAACCCAGATGACATAAGGACAAAAAACTCCAGACAAATTGCACAAAACAAGCTTCTTCAAAGTGATGTCAAACACTGCCTGATACAATTCCAGCTTAAGTTGGTCTTCAGGTGAGGTTTACTCTGTCATTGGTCAAGTCTATCACTGAGATACCTACTTTCAGCCTAAGCTTACTGTTGCCACAGTTGGACTTTTCTTCGGTGTGAATCCACTGGCGATATCAAAATAATATATTTGGTCCCAGCACAAGCAATAAGGTGCATTTGTACATTAAAATACATATTATTCTCTCATAATAAGATCTATATTGCATTTTTAATTCTATTAAATTCTTTATATTACTACTGATATACTTGATCTACTTAAAATGACATGATTTTCTTGAACATTTTTATAATTGTCTTCTCAGTAAGGTCATCCAGATTTCCAACATGTTTTTCAATGTCATGAGTAGGGATGTGCGGTTTTATCGGTATACTGGTATATTGCAATACAAATTCATCACGATACGTATCGCGATACGTTTTTGGCGTATCGGTTTTTCCCTCATTATTCAAACACCACCTGATAAAAATACGTATTTTACAATCGGAAATCATCGGGAACGAACGTTGCTGACAACTTGGAACTAGAGTTACTTCCCTTGATTGTTTATCCAACATGGCGGACGCCTTTGACATCGTGCCGAACAAAAAGGGAAAATCCGAAATATGGAGACATTTTTGGTTGAAGAAAACAAAATTAGATGATAAAATAGTAGAAAATATTGCTGTGTGTAGGAAATGTAATGCATGCGTTCGCCATGTGGGTGGAACATCGAATTTAAGCTCCCACATGCGGCACCACTATCCATTATCACTTGGCTCACAGAAATCAACAAAGTCAAGCATCAATCAAGTAGGACTATCCAATGCAAACTTAAGTGACACGGACACATGTTCAAGCATAAGCTGAGTAGCTAATGTTGAGTAACCTATCATGAAGACTAGGTTTTGATGTTACTTCACTTTGTTTAACTTGTTTTTGCTGGCTGTTCACTATCCAGAATACTAAAGAAAAACACATTTCATTGTGATCTGTAGTACTGGTAGTGGTAAAACATTTGAAATTTGACCAGTTTTATCTTTTGACGTTGAGTGGAAGTTGTCATGATGTATAATTCTTATCAAATTTATGTTAATGTTAATGTTTCATTGTTTTTCAAACTGTTTCAGAGAGTTAACATTATTCAAATGTGATTGAAATAGGTTGGAGACTGTGACTGACATGTATATGCCATGAAGTATAGTCTTGCCTTATTAAATCAAAACAAAGACAACACACATGCTTCATACTCTTTATTTGATTGTAGATAAAAATAATAGTTCAATTTATTAAAATTGGTTCATAATTTTGACCAAATTGTTGACATATTAATATTTGTCAAAGGGATATGAAAAAAAGCTTTTCTCTTGGTAGAAATTATTTCCAAATATATTGCAATAATATTGCAATATGTTTTTGAAATATTGCAATATATCGCAAAACACTTTTTGGTCGAATTCCCAACCCTAGTCATTAGTTTGTGAAATGACATTGAGGAAATAGATTGGTTGTAGGTAAACGTATAAGTGTAACGACCTTGTTGGGTTGATGTGATACACAAGGGAGAAACCAACAGAATTATGTTCACAAAACTTTTTGGTCTACAAAGTGTGGCTCTTGTTAAATGTTGACAGTAATTTGTTTGGAACCGCAAATAACCATTACAATCCTGTTTCTTTCAACAATTATGATACATGGTGTGGTTTTCAAAAGGTGGTTTGATTTATCTGATACAATATAACTAAATGTACACACCAAATCTTACAGAGTGTACAATCATTCTGTCACCCTTTGGGCCACCACTATCAAAGGTCAACCTTTGGGCCACCACTATCATAGGTCAACCTTTGGGCCACCACTGTCATAGGTCAATCTTTGGGTCACCACTATCAAAGGTCAACCTATTGGCCACCACTATCAAAGGTCAACCTTTTGGCCACCACTATCATAGGTCAACCTTTTGGCCACCACTATCATATGACAACCGTTGGGCCACCACTGTCATAGGTCAACCTTTGGGCCACCACTATCAAAGGTCAACCTATTGGCCACCACTATCAAAGGTCAACCTATTGGCCACCACTATCATAGGTCAACCTTTGGGCCACCACTATCATAGGTTAACCTTTGGGCCACCACTATCATAGGTCAACCTATTGACCACAGCTATCATAGGTCAACCTTTGGGCAACCACTATCATAGGTCAACCTATTGGCCACAACTATCATAGGTCAACCTATTGGCCACAACTATCATAGGTCAACCTTTGGGCCACCACTATCATAGGTCAACCTATTGGCCACCTCTATCAAAGGACAACCGTTGGGCAATCTTTGGGCCACCACTACAAGACACTACAAGACTTACCTGAGTGTATAAATCATTAAGACAGCACTTACCTGAGTGTTCTGACGAGACCGGTGTATGAATCATGAAGACAGCACTTACCTGAGTGTTCTGACGAGACCGGTGTATGAATCATGAAGACAGCACTTACCTGAGTGTTCTGACGAGACCGGTGTATGAATCATGAAGACAGCACTTACCTGAGTGTTCTGACGAGACCGGTGTATGAATCATGAAGACAGCACTTACCTGAGTGTTCTGACGAGACTGGTGAATGAATCATGAAGACAGCACTTACCTGAGTGTTCTGACGAGACAGGTGTATGAATCATGAAGACAGCACTTACCTGAGTGTTCTGATGAGACTGGTGAATATCCCGGCACCGACATTTCCTGAAGATCTGTTGCACAAGCTTCTTCAGGGCAAATCTGTCAACTGTGTTGCCGTATGTGTGACGCTTGAGCTCACTCAGGTCTTTGCCCTGAAATTAAAAAAATACAATATTGGCTCTTTGAATTTGTTAATAGCACGACATGGTGCTACCTACATGGCAGTTTAGTTATAGACCAACACCCTGAAGCAACTTAATCCATCCTTACATTCACTAATGTGCCACGTACAGGTTGTACTAATACTAATACCCATGTAGATCAGGAACTCATATATATCTTAAAGATATACCCATCAAAACTTCACCCGTGAAGATCCGGGGTAGAATAGGTCTTAGGCAACCCAAGCTTGCCATAAAAAGCGACTACGCTTGTCATAAGAGGCAACTAACGGGATTGGGTGGCCAGGCTCGCTTACCCGGTTGATGCATGTCATCGTATCCCAATTGCTTGGATAGATGCTCATGATGTCAATCACTGGATTGTCTGGTCCAGACTCGATTATTTACAGACCACTGTCATATAGCTGGAATATTGCTGAGTGCGGCATTAATAGACTAGGCACATTTTCAGAAAATGTTGATGGTGGAGGCATTTCATGTTTATGGCTGGCAAACAACATTTCTAGATGTATTGATATGTTCTTAATTGATTTAGGGGGTTTGCCCGGCTGTATTTTCAACGGTTAACCCACAAATTTGATAAATTCAAAATGGCAACAAAAAAAAATAAAAAAAATAATTTTTGTCATATCTTTGGTACTAAGCATGGTGGGACCACAAATAAAACATTTCTCTGTATGTTTTCATGTACAAGGAATCCAATGAAACCATAACCCTCAATACGTCAAGAAATCAAGATGGCCGCCATGTTGGGGCAAATCCGATTACTAACTGCGTCTGATGCAAACAGAGTCTTATTTACATGAGTGACTTTACTACAAACAACAAAAAACAAAAATCAAAAATCAAACGTGCCTGTCAAGAATGGGTTAGGGACTGACCAGTTCATATTCTGCTTGTGGTTGGGGAGGCAGACTGGGAATTGTGTAATTATTTGACATGCTGATCATTCTGAAACCCATTTTCAGAAATACAATTAAATTGTGGCTGTTCTTTTCAGAGATAACAAAGTTTGTTACTTGAAGCAGTGACAAAAAAATATTCCATTTTTTAACAAAATATCCACTAGATGAAGCTATTTGTAGTGTCAGTTTCTGCTTGCATGAAATGTTTATGAACAAACAGCGGATGCTTTTCTGTTAAAGGTACTTTACAGATGCACAAGACAGCAATTAATTCCAAAAAATATCTGAAGTTTGACAGTGAGCAGTCCGTGTGGGTGATGATAAGAAGGCCATGACACATGCCTGCCGTTTGTGAAGCCCTATAAATATCTGATGTCATAATCAGCATAGGAGTGGGCTTTGCTTAACAAACACACCTTCATACTTAAGTTTTATCTGAAAACAACTCCTTTCTGTGAGATCTGTCCAGTCAACATGTACTGGAAGTTACTAGGGGCTGACATTTAGCACTCTGGGAGTGGAAGGACCTCAGAACAAGAGGGCATGGGATCTAAGAAAAATCAGTTCCTATAATTGCTGGAAAAATAATAAATCCTGGGGAAATACAAAAGGAAGGATCAATTCTCACTGGACAATGCACTGTGGGTATAACAAAAGTTTTGGTGCTTCCTATCAGACAATTCTTTGTGGTATGTCTTGAAGAGCCTTCTGAAACAATATTCTGTCTCAAACAAAAATCTGAGACCCCCTGCCCACAAAATACAGAACCTTATAACACTGGCATTATGTGCAGGAAGGATATTCTATTATGACTGTGGGTTTCGAGAATTGAGGACGTCAAATCATTCTTCAACTTCATCATTTATTCTAATTCTTAGTTTCATATTCTAACAGTTTCTTCTTCTAGTTGAAGGGTGCCGTTGCCACGAAATACTAAGGAAGCGCTGTCGGCTTGATTGACTGCAAAATAATGCCGAAACGTCTTTGAATATACTAATATTTAGACGCAAATATGAAAATAAACGGTCACATTAATAATGTCTTACTTCTTACTTACTGAAGTTTTGTATTTAATTGCATAATTACCGTTTTATAACCTCCACGGTCCTCCGCTCACAGCACAGTCTCTTGCACATAGCGATACCAACAACAACATAAAAGTTACTTCCCTTTACAACTTAAATGAAGACCGCTTAAATATAAAATTAATCCAAACAATTGATCAGAATCCAACAATGACCTTGCTATGTAGGTCTCACATTACTTTAGTTCTGACCACCTGATCCATTAAGTCGCCTCTTATGTCCAGGATAAGTTGCAAGGGACCAATTCTAATCCGGAATCCCCATGAGTTCCTGAATAAGTCGGATTTGGTAGATGGCTTGTCATCATACACCGACAGTGTTGATTGCTACTGATAATATCAATCACTGGATTGTCTGGTCGAGACTCGATTATTTACAGGCTGCCATCATAAGGCTGGAACATTGCTGAGTGTAGCATTGAAAAATAAACATACATTCAGCTCTTCCAGCTTTTGTAATGCCTCAGTGGCTTTAAATGAGTGGGGTGGGGTGAGGTGAGGTGAGGTGAGGTGAGGTGAGGTGAGGTGAGGTGAGGTGAGGTGAGGTGAGGTGAGGTGAAATGGGGTTTAACGTTGCATCCAAGCTTGTATTAGCTTATGTCCATTTTATAGTGATGGTCCACTGAGATAACATGCGCAATTTAACAAAAAAATACACCACTCAGACACAGTTTACTGACTCAGAGCCGACCAGTCCTTGTTATATCCCCTTAATGCCAAGCACCAGGCAGGGTAAGAACAAGTACCATCTTTTAATGTCTTTTGGTTTGACACGTCTGGGGATCAAACCCTGTACCTCCCGTTCTCCGGGCGTCAGGCCTAACACTTCAGCATGGGGAATCAAAACTTCAACCAATTAATAAGGCCACAATAATGAAATTTTAAGGCTTACTGATTTAGAAGGTGGAAGTAAAAGTACAAATAAAAATGTGCGTTGTTCCATGTATTTAGTTATATAAGTTGTTAGGTCAGTCAGTTGATAGACGCCAGCTTTGCTTAAAGTATAAGTGTAAAAGTTTTACAGAAAAATATATATGTATTCATATCAAAGAAGGTTTTGTTCTGTTTTATTCATGAAGTTTGCAAGGTTAGTGAGCGAGTTGGGTTTTGTTACAATCTACTAATTATTTTGGTATGCTTTAAAACATTCAATCTCAATAAAATCAGTTGTCAATGCTTGCTACTGCTAAACCACAGATCTAAGGACATATCCCATTGCAGGTCACGTTAGAATGACCTTTCGGAAACTTTGACCAACCAATGAACCACCCACAGGAAGACGGCTTAAGCCAATCAGAATGCAGCTTTCTCAAGCTTTCTCAAGTTTCAAAATGGCAACTTCCATATCAGACAAAACTTTGAAAAATATTTTGAAAAAGTTATCAATTCAAAATTTGAAGTCTGACCAAAAGAAACTGCTCCGTATCATTAACCTTTTCGTAGTTGCATGATTACAAAACATTCAGACATTCACTTTCATGATTTCATAATAGCAATGCTCTGATCAGGCGGATGAAAGGTCATTCTGACATGAACTTAATGGGATGTCCTCAGATCACTGTGTAGCGGTAACGAGCACTAAGATCTGAATTTAATGAGATTGCAAAACATTGTAAGTCTTCTTGTGCATTGTTCCAACTTGGCTATTTGAGCACTATCAATGGTTCCAATTAAACAATAAAAGAATGTTCCTGGGAAATGCTACTGTAGCATGGATAGCTCTATCACAAAATGAGCATTCGTTTTTGAAAGTAAAACATAAAGATCTGTATGTGTTTCAAATTGATAGAACTGAAAATAAAACTTTCTTTGAGTTCAAATGTTCCTGAAAAAGCCACAAGGAGTAACAGGTTTTTTAAGGTGTACTTTTTTCTTGTTTGTTAAATGGCACTAAACAGAGTGAGTCTCTCCCATGAATCACTACCAGACAATAGACTGAACATTTAATCAGAGATTCTCAATCAAGACAAATGCTTTTTTGTCATTCGACCTTCAACACATGCATTCTTTCACCAGCCAAGAAAGACTGAAAATCTGTTAAGAAAACATAATACGATTACAATGTTTTTAGTCTGGTACTTCCAATTTCCATGAAACGTGCCCCCACCAAATTCCCTTTTTTGGTCAAAGGCCTAAACATTTTTTTCAGTAAAATCCCCGTGGGTTTCCAGATTTAATTGACACTAAGGTCAATCTTTCACAGCAACCTGCCATTGTGTGTATGAACTCTGGGCTAATGGAAGAAGAATTAGAAAAAAACAGTCAGACTTGCACTGATTTGATATGGCAAAGACTGAGAAATGTTCTCCACCAAAGTAATCTTTATGCCAACTTCAGATGTCTGGTCTTGATCGGAGGCTTCATCCTGACTTGACTGACCGTTCTGGCATGGGCCAATTTAACCCTGGAATCCCCATGGGTCATCAGTGTAGTTGGGTATATGGAACTTGGGCTGCAGTTATTCAACTTGTTGTTCAAGCTTGTTCCCAGACTAACATGAAGTCCTTGAAATAGTTGGAAGGTTAAGTAAAAATATTTCTACAGGGGGACCCCCGAGAATTTGGAACCCACAAGTCTATTCACTTCAGGCTAGAGCTGAGAATGGGATGAGTATAGCCTGCTAGAGATGAGAATGGGATGAGTATAGGCTGCCAGAGATGAGAATGGGATGAGTATAGGCTGCCAGAGATGAGATGGGATGAGTGTAGGCTGCCAGAGATGAGAATGGGTGAGGTGGTGAGGTGAAATTGAGTTTAACAGCGCGTCCAAGATTATTGCACTTATATAGCGACGTGCATGCACGTGTATGTGTGTGTGTGGCTGCTTGTACTAGTCCGGACTGATGCCGATTTATAGTGCTAGCTCACTGAGATACCATGCCGCAGTTTAACATGAATACCCCACTCAGACACAGTATACTGACTCCGAGCCGACCAGTCCTTGTTTTAGCCCCTTAATGCCGAGCGCCAGACAGGGTAACA